TCCAAATGTTCGAACGGGGCGCGATTCGCGCGATTCGTACGACGGTTCGCGGACTCTGACGCCAGCCTAGGATAAGAGATAATGTGAGTCGCGGAGAAGGGAAAGAAGACCAAGATGAGAGATAGCATGGCATTACGACAAGACAAGTTATCAAAAAATGGCCGGATACCGATCCTTCTGAGCTAAGGAATTGCTAGGCTAAGGAAAAAAATTTCTTAGCGCCTAACGGTTTAGTGACGCGTTTCATGGTGTGAAGATAGCGTGCCTTCGGCAGATATCTACCAGCACCTCTATTCAAGGCAAGGACCTCTCGAGGCTGATCCTAGACCCTGCCGATGACCAAAACGGAGGGGAAGAGGGAATATTTGGCCGTAACGAACAAGCTCGCACCGTCTCTCGACCTCTACGGGCTTCGTTACCAGCTCCATGTGATAGAGCTAGTCCATTTGAGGTATCCCTCTTGAGTCAGATTAGCGGTTATCTAACCTAGATTCGGTTGGTTTGCTAAGGTGAGCCAGGGCTGTTTGGTTTAGGATTACAGACAAAGCATTTCGCGCTTGATCTATCCCTTTGTGGGATGCGGCACGCACTTCTACTTCATTTCGCAGTGGCATTTGAATGCGATGTGGCCTATACAATGACTTGCGGGGGCCAGCCGATGTACAAGTCAGTGTTTTTTATCCTCCCAGACAAGTCTGGTACCAATTAACCGACCCCGGAGGGATGGAAGGCTTGGTTGGCCCGGGCGACTCACGACCCAGGATTTGCCCCCGGACCGCTCGCGTGGTTAGCGCGCCACTTTCCACTACACCAGTTTCGCCCATTGTTTGGTCTGTAATCAAAAATACGGAACCTCTAGTTCATGGGAAAAAAGGCGCTATGCCTCGACTCTACCGCTGCGGCCGCTGTAATTCCTATCCGCCGTGGCAGATGTGGCATCTGCGCCCTCTTGCGCACGAAGTGCTCCCTCGCGTTTCCCCTCTCCTCACATCGCTGTGTCTCTTCGTCGTACAACTGACGAGCTTAAAGGCACCTGCTTGCGCACCGTGGTCAAAGCCTACATCAAGTGACTAAATGCCCTACTAGTCTTCGAGGACCTTTTACTATGCAAATAAGTCGATGCTATAGGTTCTCAAAATTACCTGACGGCTATAAAAAGGCACTTCCGGAACAATTCATTCTTCACTCCTTTTTCGGCATTGGGAGGGCCGCTCAGAAAAAATGGACCGCATTTCTGTGCTCTTTGCATGCCCCTCTATAACATAAGAAACCGTTTTGGATAATCGTTCCATGTCCTGAATGGCCTTCCTGGTTAGTGCCGTTTCCTCGCGTTTTTG